AACAACAACAACAACAACAACAACACCAACAACAACACCAACACCAACACCAACACCAACACCACCAACAACAACAGCAACAACAACAACAACAACAACAACAACAACAACGACAACAACAACGACAACAACAGCAACAACAACAACAACAACAACAACAACAACAACGACAACGACAACCACAACGACAACGACAACCACAACGACAACGACAACGACAACGACCACGAAAACGACAACGGCAACCGCAACAGCAACAGCAACAGCAACAGCAACAGCAACAACAACAACAACAACACCACCAACATCAACAGCAAACATAAACCAAGATCCAAATATGATGCCGGAACCGTTTTGTTTGTTTTGTGTTTTGATTGTTTCGTTCTATGCTTTGTTTTTTTTTTGTAGTTTGGTCTCTTGGTTTTGGTGGTCCGATTACTATGGGTAGTTGTGCCTGCATAAGAAGGTCGATCCTGTAAAACATAAGCCAAAAACCAAAACACTGAACCAAACAAACAACTTTGAGGATCTGTGTTGATTTTGTGGGTTGTTGTTTTCGTTGAGTGGTTAAATCCAGTCGGAAGCAGGGCTTCATTCCCGAACCCTCGAAAAAGGCCGGAATCGCCGGTGGGAGCGGGGATTTAAAGGGGATGGTCTGTCATGGGCGGGGGGAGGGGTGACCATATGTATGTATATATATATATACATACATACATATATCTATATAGATATATATATATATACATATATACACACACATATAAATATACACATATGAAATCATATTGAACCGTGCATAGCCAAAGTCGTTGCATTGGAGCTTCAGGGTCCAAGGGATGAGGGTTCTGGTGTCGGTCTCCTGGCTTTTAGGGTCCAGGCCTCGCCTCCGGTTGTCGATTTTTCTTCGGCAAATTACCCAAAGGGTCCAAGTTATAGTATGGTATATACTTTTGGGGCCCAAATACCTACAAAGTAGCTACCATGTTACTACTTGGACCCTTTGGGTTAGAGAAGACCTTGAAAGCTGATCATCTAGACTTATGCGTTGTTATCCTTGAGTGTACAAGTACATAGTCATCATGTTGCTCTCCCAATGACTGACCTACAAAATATTATTAGTTATCTTAAGCCCGGATAAATGTTGGACCTTACGGTATATCATCTTGGGCAGCCAAGGTATCCTGCCTATCCGCCCTTTGTCTGTGCTGGGCAGAATGGGTGTTTGGGCCACTACACTGGCTCCGGCGGCAGCTTGCTAAGGGAGGGTGAGCTCTTGTTGCTGGGCTCTTGTTAAGGATTGAAGCTTCATCCCAGAAGCCTTACTTAACCCTAAACCCTAAACCCTAAACCGCTTCGAAAACTTCAAGCACGTCCCAAGTTCCTAAACGCGCCCAGGTTCTTGGAGATAGGGGGTTGCTACGAACGCTACCATGCAGCGATGATGCGAAGCTGCGATTCGGCTCTTCTTGATGCATGTGTTTGGGTTTAGGGTTAGTGTTTAGGGCAGTTTAGGGTTTAGGGTTTAGGGTTAAAGGGTGTAGGGTTTAGGGTTTTGGGGTTTAGGGTTTAGGCTCTACCACTTTTGGTATGGGTTCTAGGCTTCTTGAAAATACTGGAGATTTAGGTGCAGAGTTTTAGGGTAGACGGTTGTCACCTAGGATGTAAACCCTAAGGCTATGTGGGCACGAAGCTTCCGGCCGCCTTAGCCTCAGCCGAAGAGGCCGTTGCCAAGGCCATGGAAGTTGCAATGGCTGCAATGAAGCCCGGGGTTTTGGCCAAGGAGGTGGGGCGCTTGCCAAACTAGCATCTTTTTGGGGATCCTTGCTTTTCAGTAGAAACGCTATGTGCACAGGTGCTTTATTCCCTTCGGGCGTTCGATTCGAGTTCGGGTAAGCCCTTGCTTGAAACAGGCAGGTCCTTTAAGCAACCTCCACCCACCAGCTGTGCTCTAGACCCCTCAACGGCCCTAAACTCTAAGCTTTCTAAGCCCTACATCCCTGAACTCATAGCCCCAAACCCTAAACCCCCAAACTCTAGATCCAAACTACAAAGCTCAAAGCCCTAACCGTGTCAACTTCTAAACCCCAAACCTTCAACAATAAACCCTTAACCCTCTGAATCTCAACTCTAGACCTTCAGCCTTAAACTTTAAGCCCTAAACCCTGAGACTGGAACCCTAAACCCTAAACTTTAAACCATAAAACCCTAAACCTTAAACCCCAAACCCTAAATTTCAAACCTGAAACCCTAAACCCTCAACCCTAAATCTTAAACCCTAAACCCTAAAAACCTTAAACCCTAAACCCTAAACCCTACCCAACCCTGCTCTGATCCCCAGGTGGATGCGAAGGCGCGGGAAGTTCTTGGGAGCCTGGGAGCGGACGTCACCATGTCCCTTCGCTCCTTGGGAGCGGCTCCAGTACTGCTCTCTTGGGTTTGAGGGATTTAGGGATGTAGGGTTTAGGGATTTAGGGATTTAAGGATTTAGGGTTTTAGGGTTTAGGGTTCAGGGGTTTTAGGGTTTAGGGTTTAGGGGTTTTGGGGTTTTAGGGTTTAGGGGTTCAGGTTTTTTTTCGGTTTAGGGTTGAGGGTGCAGGGGTTTAGGGTCTAGGGTGAAGGGTGCCTTTATGCTCCTTGCGCTCTTCTCCTAAAGGATCCTGAGGACCGACAGGGGTGCCTGTAAAGCCTTCTTCTAGGCTTTGGAGTGCCATACTTTAACACTGTTTTGGGACCTGTTTCTTAATGAACCAATATAAAATCAAAGTCTATACTTTTTTTCTCCCTGGCTACTTCAAAGCCCAGTCTTTAAGGATGTAGGGTTTAGGGTTCCTTTATTAAGCACTCATATAGTAGCATGTAGGGCTTCTGTTTAGTAGGGGTTTGGGCAAGTATTCCCCATCAACTTAGGCTCCTTTGGTCTGCATTACATACTCCTGCACTTCCGAAACCCTAAACCTTAATTTAAAAGTGAAAGCCCTAAATCCTAAAACTTAAGCCCTAAACCCTACTTGGAGGTTCATGGGTAGCTATAAATGGGGTTATATGTAGGGTAACTATACTTATAACCGATATTAGGGGACTTATAACCCCACGTATAACTACCCATGAACCTCCAAGCAACCACCCTCCGCAAAAAACCCTAAACCCTAAACCCTAAACCCCTAAACCCTAAACCCTAAACCAATACCAAACCTAAGCCCCAAACTTGACATTTCGGTGGAAAATTTCTGGGGGGACCGAGGCTCGGGCTATTCCATCGGCCTCGGCTTCTACAGCGACTCTTGGCTCCAAAGCACAAAGAAACGGTGGCCGAATATAGGGGCCGGAATAATTGGGTTTCGGGTTTTAGGGTTTTAGGGTTTTAGGGTTTAGGGTTTAGGGTTTAGGGTTTTAGGGTTTAGGGTTTAGTGTAGGGGCCGAAATGACTACCCATACTATTTTGGGGGCTCCTTATTAGTTCTATAGTAAGGTATGCCCCAAAATCCTATTCTAATTATTAAGGCCCCTACAGTAGTAGGGTTTAGGGTTTGGGGTTCCTTTAGCAGGTTCCCTCAAAGGCATCACTATACTGTACTGTAAGGCGCGCTATGGGTTTTCTGTGTAGCAGCCTGCAAAAAACTGTCAAGATGATTTTGAAGGTTTCCTGGGGTTTAGGGTTTAGGGTTTAGGGTTTAGGGTTTTGGGGTTTAGGGTTTAGGGTTTAGGGTTTAGGGTTTAGGGTAGCTATACTGTACCGTACTGTACCGTACCGTACCGTACTGTACTGTACTGTACTGTATTGTATGTATCGTCTTTGGGCCCTATATAAACGACTGCAGATATATTATGACCGGAATGATGTTGGCAGTGTCCCCCGTATTGGCTGTATGTACGTATAATGTAAATCCTATTCCATTTTGGAAGGCCCATATCTTTGCCCCCTCCACGCTAAGCTCTAAACGACTTGAACCGACAAGGACTGGGGGGAGGCTCCGTTCTTCAAGATGGACCCCGGCTCGGACCAGGTCTTCCAGGAGGGCATGGTGATCCACTTGATCCCGCTTCTCGGATGATTGGATCTTTGGTGTTTTTGGTTTTTGTCAAACCCTAAACCCTAAACCCTAAACCCCTAAACCCCTCAACCCTAAAGCCCTAAACCCATAAACCCTAAACCCTACCTTCCCGTAGCAAGATGGTGATTTTGAGTGGTTTATAAAGGGTTTCTGGGTGGTGAGGGCTTTAGTTGCCCTCCGGCCCAAACCCTGGACTCGGGGATTAGGGCCTCGCATCCCAGACCGGTCAAACATCCCCTATACTTGGATGGTTGTCAAAATGAGGGTCCCTTTTTGGGGTACCCTAAATATTAGGTGCCGTATTATACTAGGGACCCAAAAAGGGACCCTAATTTTGACAACCACCCACTTGACTCCAAAAGCCCTGAAGCAGTCAAACCTGGTCTGAGGGACCTACAGTCCAGGTTGGCATCGCTTTGTGAGGGTTTAGGGATGAGGGTTTAGGCCTTAGGGTAGCCGGTTCTACACACGGCATGGAAAAATCGAGGCTTGAGGCTTTAGGCTTCTTGGGGCGTGCAGTTTAGGCTTACTGTAGGGGCCTTCAGAGTTACCTACACCATTGTAGGGGTCACTTATTGTAATTATAGTAGGATGGGCCCCAAAGCCCTCTTCTAACTATTAAGGCCCCTACATTACCAGGTTCAGGCTTGAAGGTTCAGGGTTTTGCTGGCATCTTCCTAGGTCCCCCCCCTGCCCTCCCCAACAGCGCTTTTTGTCAGAGTCCACAGTTGCACCTTTCCGGGGATACCAATGCATTTGACTGGGGTGTGGGTGGGGGGGATGTGTTCGGGATAGTTGTCAACACCGGGGATGGTAGCAGCTCGAACTACTCACAGGGTCTTCTGTTTGAGTCATCCTCGAGCTATTGCCTTGAATCTATAAGGTGGGTGCAAGTGCAGGGTCACGGCGGCGTTGGGCTCAGCGACACTGTGCTGGTGACCAAGAGTGGTGCGAAGTCGCTGTTCGACTGCCGCGATTTGCCTCAGAGGATCATCATATGGTTCTTGCAAACTCCACCTGTAGCTCCGAACCGTCACTTGGGGCCCTTTTGAAAACGGCTTAGGAACTCTAAACCCTAAACCCTAAACCCTAAACCCCTAAACCGGACCCTCATCGAATTTCCAGATCCACCTGCGCTCATAAGCTGAGAGCCTTTGGGCCTCAACTTTGAAGGCTTTAGGGTTTAGGGTTTAGGGTTTAGGGTTTAGGGTTTAGGGAGGCTTGCAGCCCGAAGCGCGACACACTGAACCGAAAATGCTGCTGCTCTATGCTCAAGCGGAGATTCCATACCCCCTCTAGTACCGAATATTGTTTAAGTCTGCCGAGGGATTCTTTTTATGGCTTGTGAGGGGTTTGGGAGTGTCTTCGTGCGAAAAAGCCCGCCCAACTGCCCAGTTAAACCGTTAAGCCCTAACCCTAACCCTCCAGGTGCCCACTATATAGGGCCCTAGGGGCTCTAGCACCCTCTATAGTAGGTAGGGTTATCCTTTAAAAAGCATTGCAAAGGAAGCATAACCATGTTCCTGCCTGATTGAACCCTAAACCCTAAACCCTAAACCCTAAAAACTAAACCCTAAACCCTAAACCCTAACCCCTAAACCCTAAACCCTAAACCCTAAACCCTAAACCCATATCCTGGAAGGATCCATCTCATCCCTCCTCCTGCGCACCGTCCCTTTGGCCCAGAAGAAGCCAGAACCGCGGCCGATCTTGTACGAAAGGTTTGATATACTACATGTGGGTGGTTGTCAAAATTATGGTCCCTTTTTGGGTCCTTATTATAATACGGCACCTATTATTTAGGGTACCCCAAATGGGACCATGATTTTGACAACTACCCATGTCCTAACACTTGTCCTGAGAACCAGTACGCAGTTTTGGTGGAGTCTATTGCCAAAGAAGGACGAAGGTCATATTTATTTTGCATATTCTATTGGAGTAGACAACTATCCTTTTCCTTGCAGGGTGTAGCCTTCAGAACGCAGGAAAAAGTATGGTTGTTACATATAGTTTCCCTGTTTGGCACAACACGCACATGTATTGCAGGCACCTGCTCAAGTGGGAAGAGCCTTGAAAATACACCCCTCCTTTCATTCAACCCGTCGAATTTAGGAGCCCTTGTGTAATCCTTACAAAGCTCGAGGGGTTCATCAATCAGGAGTCAACATCAGAAGACCTTAAGCCCTGAACCCTAAGCACTAAATAGCCCTAAATCTCAAAAGCCTTAAAATCCGGAAGACCCTGAACATAAGCCCTATACCCAACACCATAAACTGCCCTAAACCCTTCCTAAACCCTAAATCGTCCTAAACTCAACACCTTAAAAACCCTCAAGCCCGCATTCCAAAAAACGGACCCTTCCCGCGTCTTTAGACCTCCCCGACCAGCCCAGGAAAGGTTCGATGCGTGCTTGGCTTGGAACCTACGCCTTTGGCACCTGGATCAGAATCTGTGGTTTATTCAGGTTTCATAGGCTGCGATAAGGCGATTTAAAGACCGTGTCTTTGTAGGGTTCTACTGGGATCTACGGTGGTTTGCAGGGTTTTATAGGGGTTTGAGGCTTTGACGGGGTCTAAGGTTCAGAATGGTTTGGGTTTTTGAGACTGTGACAGGGGTTTCAGAGTTTAGGTATGGCCCTCCGTCGGTTTAAGGTTCCAGGATCTGCGATTAAAGTTTAAAGTTTAAGGGATTCGTGAGTTCAGCTAAACTGTTTCTGGCGCGCTCGCTGCCGAAGGTAAAGATCTCCGATGGCTTCCCTGGCGTAGCAGCTGTCTACGTGAAAGACGAGTCCAAGCGCATGGGCTTACAGGCTTTCAAAGTGGTTGGCGGCGCATATGCCATGCTCAGGTTCATGTGCAAAAGACTGGCGCAGCCCGTGCCGGAGACCAGCGATCGGGTGCAGCTGGTTCTTGAACAGGAACTTCCTTTAAGCCGTCATGGGTATAAGGATAGAGCATGTGTAGTTATACATATACTGAGCTTTCCGACAGGTATTTCGTAAACCCTAAACCCTAAACCCAGATTGGCTCCTTAACAGTAGCAAGAGCCCAGGAGGGCCGTTCAAGAGCTGTATCAAGAGCGCTTTGGGGCCACCACCTTCGTCACGTGCACTGACGGGAACCACGGTCGAGGCTCCCCTAAACCCTAAACCCTAAACCCTAAACCCTAAATAAACCCTAAACCCTAAACCCTAAACCGTCGGTCGAGGTGTTGCTTGGGCGGCGAAGAACTTCGGCCAGCGAGCGGTAGCTGTGGCTCCAAAAGGGTTTTGGGTTTAGGGTTTGGGGCCTTACTCCGCTTACGGGTTACCCATAGGCCCCAGAGTAGTTCCTTTTTGGGGTTACTTTATAGGATCCCCCAAAAGGAACTACTGTAGGGCCTATGGGTATGCTTCTACGATTTGAGAGGATTGTATAGGTTATCCCCCCAAATGAGGTTCTAAGAGGTCATAGCCGAACTTTTGGAATGTTTAAGGAGTAAGCTGCCATCTTCCAGCATGAGGCCCTGACATCTTTACGGGTCACAATGCCGAACCTCCAACCTATACTGCTTTGTAGCATGTCTTTGGGCGCAGGTAGTCTACATGCCAAAGGGCTCCGCAATGCAGCGCTTGCAGCACGTGCGGGACCTTGGGGCAGAGGCAGAGATCACCGATCTGAACCCTAAACCCCTAAACCCTAAACCCTAAACCCTAAACCCTAAACCCTAAACCCTAAACCCTAAACCCTAAACCCCAGCCCCATGTCTGCAGGCAGAGATCACCGATCTGAATTACGATGACACTGTGGAGCTGGCATTTCAGCAGGGAAGAGAGAAGCAGGGGTCCCCAGCAGTACCCTTTTACCTTTTTCTTGTTGGGCTCGCTGAGTAAAACTAAAAGAGGGTTTAGGGTTTAGGGTTTAGGGTTTAGGGTTGAGTAAAACTAAAAGAGTACTCTAAGCCCGCTCTAAACCCCCTCTGAACCCCCTCTAAACCCCCTCTAAACACCTTCTAAACCGACCTAAGCCCCCTCTAAACCCGGAAAAGGGTATCCTTATTATTACGGCGCTATCTGGAGAACCTAGGAAGGGCTGGGTGGTGCTGCAGGACACCACCGCCCCTGGTTACACCGAGATTCCCGAATGGATTATGCAGGGCTATACTGCTACTTGGCTCTTATTAAGGACCTTTGTTTGTTTAGGGTTTAGGGTTTCAGTTACCAACATAGGGGCCTTGAAAAAGATGGTTGCCTCGTTATGGTAGATTAAAGGAAGTTCCTTAGCAAGAATCCAGGCCATGGTGGACGAGTCTTTGGACGAGTCTTCTGATATGCCCAAGCCGAGCCACGTGCTGTTGCAGATGGGAGTGTCCCAGCTGGCATGTCTTGCTTTTCTGCAGTACAGGGCGTAGGAGGTTTGGGTTTAGGGTTAAGGGTTTAGGGTTTAGGGGTTAGGGTTAGGGTTCCCCGTGAATTCCGCATGCCGGTTTCCAATGGCAAGACTCTTCCTTATGCTGATGACCCGCAGCCACAAAGGATAGCAAATCGCAGAACATGACCCTGTAGTTCCAGGGTCCAACACTTCGAACAGCAATTAATGTAGGGGCCTAAATCATTACCAAGACTATTTTGGGGGTATCTTATTATACTTTTAGTATAACGGGCCCAAAACCCTATTCTAATTATTAAGGCCCCTATATTAGGCTTGTTGACACACAGGAGACGCAAGGAGACCCTAGGAACTATTTTCCCAAAGGGTCCAAGTAGTAATATGGTAGCTACTCTGGTAGGTATTTGGGCCCCAAAAGTATACCTGGACCCTAAAGAACCTACCTTTTTAGGGGATCCTTATTATGATTTCTTTGTGTAAGTCCTCAAAAAAGTAGGTTATTTGGGGTTAAGGTATACCATACTATAACTGGGACCCTTTGGGTTCGACTTGAGTCAGGCCCCTGATTTCATCAATCTGCTGTCCTTAGCGGGCGCTAGCATGAGGAGCACTGGAATCGATAAAACACCCTAACCCCCTAAACCCCATACGCTAAACCCAAAACCCTTAAACCCTAAACCCTAAACCCTAAACCCCTCAACACCTAAACCCAAAACCCCGAAACCCCTAAACCCCATACGCCTAAACCCTAAACCCCTAAACCCTAACCCATAAAACCCGAACATACACAAAAAATGCCCCCAGGTCGGCTCGATGGCCGCCGCCGTGGTCGGCTACTTCCGAGCCCGATTCGGGGAAAGCTGCCCTAAATTCCTGGTGACCCTGGGCTTGTACGGCATTTGTTATGGGCTTTTATAGGATCTTTATGTGGCGCTTATAAGAGCCTTACTACTTTACTGGCTTTGATAGGTTTTTTGGCTTTGGAGGCGTGATTCTTGGCTTTGTGCGTCTTGCTGCATGGCTGATAGAGTTTTGGTTTCGGGCTTAGGGCGCTATAAATCGGGCCTTGCATGGTTTTCAAGACTGCCCCCGATATCAGGCAAACAGGCTGATTACCTATAGTCTCCATTGTAGTTCCTTTTTGGGGATACCTTATACAATCCTTAAAAAAATATTTGGTTAAACCAAAAAAAGGAACTACAGTGGAGACTATGGGTACTACACATCCCCAGTTTGACCCTAAACCCTAAACCCTAAACCCTAAACCCTAAACCCTAAACCCACGTCCCCAGTTTGATGTTGAAGTCCCGAGACCTTCAGCAAAAGCTGCCAAAGCCCTGAAGCTCCAGCTCCCCTCCCCAAGCCCGATTATACACCCTGAACCCCAAATTTAAGGTTTGGGGCTTAGGGTTTAAGGTTTAAGGTTTAGGGCTTAGGGTTTAAGGTTTAAGGTTTAGGGTTTAGGGTTTAGGAAATAACTTTCCATTTTTATGGACGTATATAGGGAAATCATATTCAGGAACCCAAAAAGGGTAGGTTCTTCAGGGTCCAGGTAAACCCTACACCCAAAGCCTAAACCCCCATAGGGTCCTAAGTACCTATATAGTAGAATGTAGGGTTTCTATATTAGGAATTACCATTATGATTTAGGGAAGTATCCCCCATAACAGTACTTAGGACCCTTTGGGACCCTAAGCTCTTACCGAGATCCAAGGATCGAGCCCTGGAACGCTGCCTGCGGTTTTGCCTCAGCACGCGCAGGGGAGCTGCAGAGTGTACCTTTTCTTGTCAAACTGGGCTTTGGAGTGCCATACTTTAATACTTTTTTTTTCGGACCTGTTCCTTAAAGGAACCATTATGAAATCTGGTTACTTCAAAGCCCAGCAAACCGACTCTCCCAGAGTGTATGAATTTCATAAGTATGCCAAACTCTCACATATGGGCTTTGTGTCAAAATCTCATATAATATGGGTTTTGATGTCGCTTTTTGGAAATCTCCGCACAACCCTTATAAGCCCCTACGGAGCCCTTGAAAGGAGAACCCTTTCAAGTTGTTATCGTCATAGTCCTTCTGTACCCTAGACCCGTAAGAATTCCTGAACTCAAAGCCTTATAACCCAGGTAGGTGGTGACTTGGAGACAATGGTGGCAGGTTTGGCCTGTGGCTGGGTTGCCAATTAGTAGCCCTGAAGGCTTTCTTTTGATAAGCAGGTTAGGACTGCAGGGGTTTAGGGTTTAGGGTTTAAGGGTTTGGGGTTTAAGGGTTCAGGGTTAGGGGTTTAGTGCTTTAAGTTTCAGGGTGTAATTAATTCAGGTTCGAGATACGGGCTCAGGGTTGATACAGGGTTTGGGGATTTGGCCCTGTATGCAACCTTTTTTGATTTTCAGACTCTTCTACGTAAGATCCTTTACAAATCCCACAGCAGGCTCTTGTATTGCAAACTCTTACACCCTTTAGATTGCAAAACCCTCACACTCACCCTGATGAAAGCATTTCTCAGAAACTGAAACCCATAAACAACCCGAAGCACCAGCCCTGGACCTTAAACCTCAGAGAGCCCGTATAGAACTTTCTAGAATCCCCTAGAGAAGCTGAGAAGATTTGCAGATCCCATACAGGAGCCTGACAAAACCCTTCTAGTATAGGGCTCTAAATACTTACCTATGTTATTTTGGGGATTCATCATTATAATTCCATTATAAAGGACCCCCAATACCCTGTTAAAGTTACTAAGGCCCCTCCTTTTTAGAAGACCCCAGCTGGCCCCCAAGCCCTAAACCCCTAAACCCTAAACCCTTAAACCCTGGACCCTGAACCCTTAACCCTAAACCTTAAACCCCTAAGCCCTAAACCCTAAAAGCCCTAAACCCTAAAAGCCCTAAACCCTAAACCTTAAGACCCCCAGGTGGCGTCCCAAGTTCTTTGGCCTGGCCAATCTTGTGGCAACATTGCTCCGCTTTCATGCGCTTTCGGGATGACCTGGCGGCTTGGACCAAAGAGGGCCTACGGTGGATATTAGGGTTTAGGTTTTTGGGTACCCTAAATATGAGGTGCCGTATTATATTACGGACCCAAAAAGGGACCATAATGTTCACAACCACCCATATAGATCCTCATTACCCTAAGGACCCTAAAGCTAGGGGAGATATGGTATATTAACACATTATGGGAAATATGGTATATTCCTTATGATGGGTAACGCATTACCCAAAGGACCCTAAACAATGGGAATTATAGTATATTCCTCATCATGAGTAATGCAGGATGTATATGATCAACCGTAGTTCGGAGAGTGAAGGCTTCTAGGGCTTGGGGTGTAGGGTAGTTTACCTGGGACTCTAATTGCCCACAGTTTTGTGGGGCTCTGCCTACTAATGTAAGTGTAAACACTGAAGGTACAGGGAGTTACAGGTAGGGTTTAGGAATCTACTATCAACAGTAACCCTAAACCCTAAACCGTCTCAGTAGCTTGAAGATTGAAGTCTTCTGGGGCTTTGGATTTAGGGTTCAGGGTTTAGGGTTTAGGAATCGGGGTTTAGGGTTTAGGGTTTAGGAATCAGAGTTTAGGGTTTAGGGTTCATGGCTTAAGGGTTAAGAGGGCCGAGTTACCTAGATCGGAGCTTGAGGGGCTTTAAGGTTTCACTCAGGTTCTAGACGGCCTCGTTACTTGCTAGGAGTTGGAAGGGTAAACGGTTTCAGGTTGAGGGTTCGGGGAGTTTTTTGGAGTTTCAACTGTTTGTTGTTTAAACGTTGGTTGTATGCTCTTCTGTTCACGAAAATCTCTACTTTGCTTTAAAAACCTTTCTTAGCTGTGATTCGCTGTCCTAGAGCCTTAAATCCCAAATGCAAGGAGGAAACCCTAAACCCTCAAAACAAAAGCTCTAAAGCCTAAACCCCCAAAAAAGCAAAAAAGCCCAAGCCCCTGGACCGATTCGGCGTTCCTATAAAGCCTACCCATAGGCCCCACAGTAGTTCCTTTTTGGGATTACCTTATAGGATTCTATATATTGACCCCAAAAAGGGACTACTATGGGGCCTATGGGTACACCCTAAATCCCAAGAGGCAGGCAATGGGATGCGTTTGCTGCACCGCTTTGGCTTGGAGGCCGGTGAGTGTGGAGGTGCCGGCGCTGGCGTTTCTGGGCTGGTTTAGGGTTCAGGGTTTTAGGGTTTAGGGTTTAGGGTTTACGGTTTAGGGCGTCATGCTGCCTATGGGCCCCAGAGGGTGATATAGTATTTGGGTTTTTCTTTAGATGAGGGTCACTTTTGGGGTGTAGGGTTTAGGGCGTCAGAGAACAACCTACTTGTTGGCAGGGTGTGACGTGAATTACAGATGTTTAGTCTGTGTAAGGGGTTTCTTATCGGTTTTATACAGTTAAAGACGGATACATCAGGAAAACAGCTCAAGAAATATATATATATATATGTGTATGTATGTATGTATGTATGTATGTATGTATGTATGTATGTATGTATATGCATGCTTGCATGCATACATCAGTGCATGGTTGTGATGTGTAAGTACACTTGTATATATATATATATACACATACATATAAATTCATACATTCATATATTTTTGATACACACATGCACGTACATGTAATTCATTATGGTGAATCTTATGCTTCTTTCAGAATGGGTATGCTAATGAGTGAGGTCCTTCACAAGAGCCCACGAAAACCCTAAACCCTAAACCCTAAACCCTGAACCCCAGGTTTTGCAATATTTGATGCAGAGCTCTTCGTGTGCATCCTTGCGACAAGACCTGGGCCTTGGACCGGAGAGCGTGGTCTTCTTCATCAACACCGAAGCTTGGGCACAGGGTATAGGGTTTAGGGCCTTTAGGGGTTTAGGGCCTTCAGGGATTTAGGGTTTAGGGTAAAGGGGTTTAGGGTTTAGGGGGAATTTAATAGTTCCTAATGGATCGGAGTTCTTTTAAGGATCTTCAAAAGGGTTCCATAGTGATTTAAGGCTTAGGGTTTGACGGCCCCTTTGTGTAGGGTCTAACGAAAGTGCCTTAATCATTAGAATAGGGTTTTGGGGGGATCTTTGTTATAATTATTGCCCCAAAACCCTAGTCCAATTGTTAAGGCCCCTACATTAATAGAGTTCTTAAGCATTTCGGGCTTAAGGACTAGGGCCCGTAAAAGTTCGGGTTTAGGATGTAGGAGTGTGTTTAAGTTTAAGGGCTCTTCAGGGTTTAGCGGTTTGGGACTAGGTTCTCTTTCTGGTGCTTAGTAGGGAATGGGGGAATGGATCCCTATGATAGTTCCCCTAAGGTCCCTTATAGTAGTCTCTATAACCCATTCCCCCATTCCCTACTAAGCACCAGACAGAATTTTGCGGGTTTTAGGAAAGTAGCACTTAGGGTCGAAGCTTCTTCTGAGGGTTGTGGTTTGGGGTTACTTAGTACCTATAGGGTCATACCCTACCCTTTTTTAGGATACCTACTTTTTTATATTACAGATCCTAACCATAAAATTATAGGTACCTTGAAAAAGGGGTAGGGTACAACCCTCTTTCAGGTAGTAAAGTAATGAACCCCTGTCGCTGGATCATCCCAAAGCTGATTTTCCCCCTTAGTTCCCTTCTAAAAAACTGGAGCAGTGAGGAAGGGGCTACAGACCCTGCGAATTATAAGCAGCAGCTGGCTCTTCCTGATGTCGAGGGATCGGGACTGTTAGAGATCGCTTTGGGCAAGTCGTCGCAAGCGACGAAGCGGCAAAGGACGCAGTAGGATACCTACGTTGGCATGGGAAAAGCCAGGTGTGATCGCATCTTTTCAGGACGTCAGGCATAGCACCCGGTAGTAGCCAGCCAGCTGTCAGAGCAGGTATGGCAGTCATGGACGCGTCACATGCAGTTATCACCACAGTGCCTTGCGTAACTCAGACCCCTGACATGTAACCCCATTCCGTCAATACGGAGTTCTCTTAGTATTGCATCTCGAAAGTATAAGCTCCCACTGAAGAGAGCGCAGTACGAGATTGACAAAGCGCAGAAAAAATTACTCAGAACGACCAAAGTCAACCCAATCGTCATCATTATCGCAAAAGCAGGACTCGAAATCATGTTTCGACTAGGCACATGAGGCGTCGGTCATCCGACTGCTACTGCTGCTACTTGCTGCTGCTGCTGCTGCCGCCACCACCACGACGACGACTACTACTACTGCGACGACGACTACTACTGTGCCTTCTACTACAACTACGGGTGCGAGGCCCTTAATTCTCGGGTACCTAGTATAACCTAAGTGTTAGCGGACGCCTTTCCTCGTCAGGTGTCTACATGGATGGGCTTTGAATTGGCTCTGGAGGGTTAGATTGAGTTGATATAGAGTCACCCTATATTAGAACCTCCGAGTTTTAGCACCCCTACAAAAACCCTTATAGCTGATAACACCCTATAGAATCCGGAAACAGCCGTGTTGAACCTGATAAGGAGCCTCAGACTTGCACATCACAAAAGAAACCCTCATAGACGATAAACCCTCAAGCACCCATCCCTGACCTTAAAACCCCAGTGCTTGCAAGACAGAGCCTCTAGGAAAACCATAAGCCCTTAAACCCTAAGCCCTAAACCCATGTAATCCTTCAAGAGCGCAAACATGTACCCTAAAGCCCATAAGCCCTAAACCCCCTATCATCCCTCAAGAGCCCAAAATCTACACTAAACCCCATATAATCCTTCAAGACCCCAAAATCTACACTAAACCCCGTATAATCCCTCAAGAACCCAAAAATGTACACTAAAGCCCATGAGTATAAGCCCTGGAGCTTTATAAGGCAGAGCCTCTACGAAACCACCTCCGAGCCGGAGGGGTTCCGCCCACTCCAGGCTTCTTGGGTTCGATAACTGAGAAGTTCTGAAGGTGGTTCCTGTTTATTTAGGGTTGAGGGTTTAGAGTTTTTTTTTTTTTTGGTGCTTTGGGGTTTGAGGTTTTGGGTTGAGGGTTAGAGTGGTTGTTGTTAAGGTTTTTGTTAGCGTTATCTTGTGTGTTTCTATTAGGGTTTTGGGATGGGGTGGTTAGAGTTGGGGGATTGTGCGGGGGTTGGGGGTAGTCCATGAAGCCTGAAGAAGGGGCTGAAAGCTATTCCTGGGCAGGGAACTTTGTTGTCTTTGTGGGGGTTGCCCGGGTTTCAAGAACAGGTGGCTAATATAGGTGCCGATCATAATTCGAATAGGGTTTTGGGGTATATTCTGCCAGAATTGTAAGAAGGAGCCCCAAAAACCCTATTCCAATTATTAAGACATGAGAAGGTCCTAAACCCTAAACCTTAAGGTGTTGAGGATTGCTATCATGGACATCATTGCTGCCGTTCACTGCAGCGCCCCTGGACCCTACAGCCTATAGCACCTCAACCCCCTGAACCCTGTTGCCCAGTACCTCAAAAGCCGGCAAACCTGCTTCGCAGCTTGAAGCCGCCCTAAACCCTAAACCCTAAACCCTAAACCCTAAACCCTAAACCCTAAACCCTAAACCCTAATGAAGCCGTAAGACCCCGGGTATCCTACGAACCCTAAGACTCCCAACCCTTTAGGGTCTAGGGTTTAGGGTTTAGGGTTTAGGGTTTAGGGTTTAGGGTTTAAGGTTTAGGGTTTAGGGTTTAGGGTTTAGGGTTTAAGGTTTAGGGTTTCCTGCTACCGTCCGGGTGCAGGCTACAGGTATGCCTTATATGTTCTGCCGTCGCGGCATGCCTACAAAGCCCCACGAATCCTCTAGAAAGACCAGAGCTCCTCCACCCGCCCAACTATATACCTGAAGATCCACATCAGGGATCTATATTATTCAGAGTACCACAGACGCTCAAATGACCCTAAACCCAGCTAAACACAGCTCGCCAGCGCCCAAACCCGGAACCGCGTTAACGCAAATAATAGCACCCTACCCTAAACCCTAAACCCTATTACAACCCTACACCCCCCTAAACAAAGTAACCTACTCCTGATGCCTGTACCATGGGATAGTAGTTCAACAGATACTACATCAACGCAGAAATCCTTGGATTCCTGAGACAGTTCTGTGTAGTAAAAAGTACCTGGACCCTAAAGAACCTACCGTTTTAGGGTTCCTTACTATGATTTCTTTATATAAATCCGAAAACAGGTAGGTTAGTTGGGGATCACCCTAAACCCGAAACCCCTAAACCCTAAACCCCTAAACCCCAAACCCAAAAAAACCCTAAACCTAAGGTAGGGTTTAGGTTCCTAGGATTTTCTGGAGTCCTTGCCGTGAGGATTCGAAGGTGGAGTCGGTGCTCCTAGCTGTGCTGCAGGCCACTGGACTTTGGACTTTGGGATCGTAGAATCACAGTCCTACTGTTTAGGGTTTAGGGATTAGTAACTAATCCTAGTATCTTGAGGTCTAAGCTCAAGTAGCAGATTTTGTTGAAACTCCTTCTCCTCGGCTGTTTGGAGGACTGTTTGGGTTGCATGAAGGCTTTAGTGGGGGATTAATACAGGTCCCTCTTTTGTCTGGGCTTAAGACGATTTCAACAATATGCTGAGGAAGGAGTGTTTCTTTCGCGGATGTTTAGGGTGTTGGGTTTTCTGGATTTAGGTATGTGTGTAAGGGCAGGGGTTTTGGTGATCTTATCAGGGCTGAGCTGGACATGGTGTGAATGGATTTGGGGTGTTGCGTAGTAATATAGAGGCCTTTACAATTAGAATAGAGTTTTGGGGTATATTAACCCGCGGCTTTCGTTGACAACGGAGTTGGACCTTTTCCGGGACCGTTGAGGGAATTCGAAAGAATCCACTGCCATGGTCCATTCCGCCCGATGGTCGGGTGAGTTTCTGAGAATCCGAAGCCGCACACAAAGTCATATACCTAACCCCCCCAAACCTCCAAACTCTAAACTCCAGCAACATTCCGAGCTTGGGAAGCCAAAATTCATAAAATAACTTAACCCTGAGTCTCACCCTTCTACCCCTGCCCCTCAAGTCAAAGAAACATGGAGTCTTGGATGGGCCCCAGAAATATCGTGAGACAGCACTTGATTGTATGCGCATGTCAACCCTTACGGAGGTCGTGTAGAATCCTGTTGCGGCCTTAAAGACTTCTTACAGAACTGAAGAAGAAACCGTCCAAGATTCCTTACAGAACCCTTGAACCCTTCCAAAAGTCTGCCA